GTCCGTTCAAACTGTACATTTGAGCATATAAAAATAAACATTAACGCAAGAGATATGTTTAATCAGACATTCTGTGAAACTTTTATCATAGTACAACACGTTTATAATGGCACAGAAGCAACAGTTAATGTAACGCCCTTACAATCATAATACTTTTTCTACACAAATAACCTTAACACACCCAGATGTACATTACAATGTGTACTTTATGGTGATGATATCCTAGGACATTAACAAAAATATCTTGCATTTAATGAATACTGCTACTACAGGTGTGTAGTGGTGGTGTCCTGACTGACAGAGGAAGGCAATCCTCCGTATCCTTAACGTGAAAATACAAAAGTGTAGTGCAGGCATAGCAACATCTTATTGTGATTACATTTTGTGAGATTTCTGGGAAACATTACTTTTTTCGCAGAGATTTTTGAGTTCACATGATCACTGTCTTTCCTACTCCTTCAGCGTAGCGTAGCATGGGCTGTTTGCAGGGAGAGAGGTGGGACCAAAATGTCTAGCGATGTCATAATTGGGTCCTGGTCTACAGAAGAGAAGGGCTGACCATGATTGACCTGATGTTAGAATGGCCAGTCTCTTCCTCCATGCTGAGCTGCTTGAGCACATACTTTGGTAGTGTGGTGGCGACGAGAAAAGGGTTATATCTCTGTGCAAAGTTCCAAATTTCCATAAGGGTGAAATTGCAGCAATTTCACCCTTATGTAGGAAGTAGATCATCAGCACTTTCACTTGCATGACGAACAAGTATGAATACTAAATAAGGGAACAACAGATGACACTGAGCTCCCTAAAGATGCAGTGATTTGATTTTCACATGGGCAATTTTATTTTGCTGTAACGTAAAAAGCAAATTAAACTTTGGGACTGAAATACTTGCCTTTCCTGGAGAAAATGCTGTGTCAGGTTTCCTCTTGTGCTTGGCATATAACAGCCTTGTATTTGGGTACATGACCTCTGCTGAAGGGGAGGCTTAGGCCAAGTGATCTTCCCCTTTGGCAAAGATCACAAGACGGAATGCAAGCGTGGAAGTAAGGAACAGCAAAGCAACTGACATTCTTTGAAGGCGTGGGTAATGTATAGGAGGAGCACTGGACTCTTAAGGTCCTCACACACCTTACGATAATCGTACGATAATCACGGGAAATCCCGCGATCGTACGATTATGGTAAGGTGTGTGGAAGCCGTGCGACCTCTACTACTGTTAGGTCGCACGACTTTAAACTTACGGACATGTTCGAACGAAAACCCGCCGAGCATCGTACGATGTTCGGCGGGTTTGTGGCATGTCCGTACGATAACAGCCGTACGGGCCGGTGTGCGCAAGCGCACACTGCCCGTTCGGCATTGCGGTCATCGGAAGCCCGCCCCTCAGGGGGCGTGGCTTGCGATCATCGCAAGTACAATCTGCCTATGCAACATAGGCAGATCGTAAGTTTTTTTTAAGTACCTTACAACCATCGCAAGACAAAAGTCTTGCGATGGTTGAAAGGTGTGTGCCCAGCCTTAGGTAAAGGGTTTGGTGGGAATATGTTCTAGGGCTGCAGCAAACGATTATTTTCAAAATCGATTAGTTAGCCGATTATTAAGTTCGATTAATCGAAAAAAGCCCCCATGTCCCCATGTAAAATAAGAAGCATTTCTCTCACCTCCCGATCTACTGAGCCGACCTGTGACAGTCTCATTGTCACAGGTCGGCTTAGAACTATGAGGTGAGTGGAAATCACTCATGTCATAGTTCTCCTTTAATTCCAAACCTAAAGGGACTCACTGAATTCACCGTAGTCTTTCTCATGGAGTTATATTCGCGAACCCGTCTACTATTGTTGAGCACTTTGATAAAATCTTGACCAAACTTTATGATAAACCATCTGCATTCCAAGCCCACGTGACTGACAAACTATTGGAGTGCTTTACTATGCCGACGCTCTCAGACCCGATGGTGGAAATTATTCGAGCTGACATTACAGTGCAGGAAGTTCTCACAGCCATCAAATCCCTGCATACCAACAAAACTGTGAGGCCCTGATGGCTTTTCTGCCCTTTATTATAAAAAGATTCCATGACCTTCTTGCCCCCCATATAACAACATTATTTAACTTTGAAAAGCAATCAAAGTTCACCTACCTCTTCTTTAGTAGCCCAGATTGTAATGTTGCCCAAACCAGGTAAAATGCTTTAGACCCCAATAATTATAGGCTCATATTGCTGCTACATGTGGACATCAAACTCCTCTCGAAAATCCTAGCCACCAGAATCAATCGCTTTCTTGACACCCTGATACATAAAGACCAAGTGGGATTTATTCCTTCTAGACACTCGCAAAATAATTAAACTAATTAATCATGTCCGTAGTAGGAACCTCCCCAGCATGTTAATATCTTTGGATATTCAAAAGGCCGTTGATTATATCTCTTGGGACCATATCTACTATATACTTGCAAAATGGGGTTTTCCTGACACATTTATGGCATGGCTCCAAGCTCTCTATAGTTCCCCATCGGCCTCTGTCCGTTACCTTCAACATCTCTCCCTACATTCCCTATCCTGAGGGGCACTAGGCAAGGGTGTCCTCTTTCTCCCATACTATTTGTACTGGCGATGGAACCACTTGCATATCTGATTTGTCTTAACCCTAATGTACATGGGGTACTAGTGTAAACCACCGAATATAAAAGGTAATCTTTTTGCTGATGATCTATTATTAACGCTATCCCAACCTCATATAACACTACCTAAATGTTTTTCTCCATTCTGCGACCCTTTGCGCAGGTATGCAATTTAACTATTAACGAAGCAAAATCCTCAGCTCTCAATATTTCCCTACCGTCGGACACTGTTAACTCTATACGTAAGATCTTCTCCTTCCTTTGGCATGATTCCTTATACAAGGCTAAAATATGTACCTTTATTCAAACATCTTAGAGACCTTTTGTCTTCCTGGTCGCGACATGGCTTACTTGGATTGGCAGACTACATGCTGTCAAGATGACTTGACAGCATGTCAAGTCATCTTGTCAAGTAACTTCTGTACTTTAACACCCTCCCAATCATGATTACATTTCTTCCCTCCGTGCGTTCCAAAATAGAGTTATAGATTTTGTATGGGGTAACAAAAGACCATGCATGTCTAAATTTACTACGCGTGCAAATAGGAGGCAAGGCGGCTTGGGCCTCCCTAATTTTTCCAAATATTATCAGGCAGCTCAAATTGCCCCCATGACCAACATGTTTCTGTCTTCGCAAGCTCCACTCTGGACTAATCTTGAAAGCTTTTATTGTGCTCCAATCTCCATTAGAGCTCTACCATGGCTCCCATGTCAATTGCGCCCTAAGAACATGAGCCCTTTCATGAGACATTGCCTTAAAGTTTGGGATGCCATCATGACCAAATATTCTAGCACGTTAACCTCTCCCCACTTCCCCTTGCTTCCCGTGCTGGGCAACCCCTTGTTTGTTCTAGGTTTGGAGATGGCGGGATCATTTGGTTGGTGGCCATCGCATAACTTTAAATATCTGCATAACCTTTTACATGGTGAAGTAATCCATAGCTGGTCCAGTATTAGAGATCGAAATCATGCTCCCTCCGGGGAATACTTCCATTACCTACAACTTAGACATTGGGCCTCCTCCATGATATCCAATAGAATTTCCCCCACACAACTAACAACTTTTGAGCACATATGTTATTACTCGCCTCTACAACCTAGGTTAATTTCCATATTGTACTTGCATCTTAAGTCGGTATCATCCCCAACGGATCATGCCTATGTATGTAGGTGGGAACAAGATCTCCACAACTCCAAAATCGACCCTAGATTGGCAACAATTGTGGAATATGACAGCTTCCTGTACCGTTAATATTACTTCCCTGGAGACAGCTATTAAGACTATGATGCGGTGGTACACGGTCCCTTCATGGTTGACATAGCTTCACCCATCGCACTCCGCTCTCTGCTTCAGTGGAGGTTCTGCTAAAGGTGACTTTGTGTACACTTGGTGGTCTTGTCGTATGATAACTAGACTGTAGTCCAGGACTTTTCTTTTTCTTCGCTCTCTTTCACAAACCTGTACCTAAAGATCCCTGGTTTGCACTCTTACACTTTAAGCCTCTATCTCTCACGAAAGCTCAATATAAATTGGCAGTTTTTATCCTACTGGCAGTCAAACAAACTATTGCCCAAGCTTGGCGGAAACAATTTGTCTATTTTGCTGATGTCCAATGTAGGATCAAATCCTTCTTCATTAATGAGAAGCTCTCTAGTATCCTACTAGATTCACAGAAGAAATTCCAAAAAGTTTGGAACCCATGGATTTCTTACACACACCCTGACCTTTTCCTTGAGAGCTTAACATATGTTTGAGTCTCTAGAAATGTGAACAACCCACTATTTTAGGGACCTTGTTGCCACACTTTCTTCTTCACCCCCTCCTCGTTACTGCCCTGCTTCTCTCCCTTCTCTTTTTCTTACCTTAGTCTCCTCATATTAATGATCTCTGATGTTATCGACCCAAGAATGTAGGAGACTTTTGCCCACTCATGTTCTCCTTATAATTCTAAGGTTGATGTAGAAATATTGCTTCCTCCTAGTACACCATATTTGCTTTTACATTTACGTTTGATGATACCTATGCAAGGAAATTCCAAAAGTGTTGGGCGGAATTCCCTACGTACAGAAACCTGATCATTTATTCTTCATTGTTATTGTCTCTATGCTAAACTTTAAAACCAATAAAATATTTTTGAAATTGAAAAAGTTTAATTGGTGATGTAAAATGGCCAGTAATTTACCACAGCTTGAGAATAACCACAATCAGTAGTCTCTGATGTATTTCTGGAGTCCAACCGTGCCAGCTACGGCCATTCTGCAGGTAGCATGCCATTTTCCAGCATATTAGGATGATAAATGTTTTCCCATCTACCTCGTAAAAAATAATTAATCAATCAAATAACACCATTACTGCTTGTAATTCTACATCTCTCTTACCATTATGGCCAGCAAGCTGTACCCAGCGTCTTTTGAAAGGGCTGATAACGGGAATGTTCACAATGGTTCGAAGCTTTTGCCATGATTTATTCTGTCGGGAAACAAAGAGAAAACCATTGTTAAATAAACAAAAAAATGACAAGTTACATTCACTGGTAAAATTTGTAAAAGATTTTGAAATTATCAGCATGGGTGAGATTTTCCTATACATCTCCCAGTAGAAGTGCCCAGAGGCACTATTACTGGATTTGTTATGGAAGGGAAAGCAAGGTAATACCTCTTGGTTTAAGAAGAAAAGACTTGACTTCAAAAAAAGAAACATTTAATTTAATTTCACAGGTCTTTTTCCATTACTTTTTATACCAGAGACAATGGTCACTAGGACAAACAGAGAGGGTGAATCTCTCGGATTGGGTCACAGACATATTCTAACGCTTCTAAAAAAAAAATAAAAAAAAAAAATAGGTTGGCCTTAATATTAAAAGAGGAACTGTAGACATATCTTCAAAAAAGCAACAAAGCCATCTTTAGAAATATTTAGTATTGACAATCTACAAACAGATACTTCTAGATAATTGCAAGCTTTTTGTTTTTTTGCAAACCTTATTTTTTTTCCCTTCCCCGGGCTTCTGACAGTGGTCGTTTTAACTAAGGGCAGATTAACATATCTCTTTTTACTTCCTGGAACTCTGGCACATGTGACTATGCACAGGGCTTAAAAAATCCACTCGTCCGCGACGAGAGGACGGTGGAGCCAGACGAGCAGCCGGGAGCTTTACATTCAAGCGGTCATGCGTTTTGAGATGCCCGATCGCTTGCATTACCAGCAGCTGTCACTGCCGTTGCCAGTCCCGAGATCCGCTGTGCCCGATGTGGCCGGGGACCGGCACGGCTCTGTGACAGGAGATCAGCACACGATCTCCCTTTGATCTACTCTCCATTCCCGGAATGCAGGAAGTGATGTATATTACATCACTTCTTGCATTCAGTGTCACTTTCCAGCTACAGAAGCTGATGAAGCAGATCTCTGCTTTATCAGCTTCTCTGGGGGTCCCTAGGTGACATTAGGGGTCTTGGAGACCCCTGAAGCAGATCTCTGCTTCATCAGCTTCTCTGGGGGTCCCTAGGTGACATTAGGGTTCTTGGAGACCCCTGAAGCAGATCTCTGCTTCATCAGCTTCTCTGGGGGTCCCTAGGTGACATTAGGGGTTTTGGAGACCCCTGATGTCTTCATAAAGAGGACCTGTCATGTAAATTGGCTATCACATAGGGGGCCCCCCATGTGATAGCAATTAAGTTGTGTAAAAAAATAAAAAGTAATACAAAAAATTAAAGAATCATTTACATTAAAAAAGAAGACATTTTTTTAAAGTCCTCCGCCCCCCACATACACATGCAGATATATTTCAGGGGCATTAATTACTGATAACACTACACTGATGAGCGGTAAAAGCGTTGCCAAAGGCCAATTTTCAGTGTGGTCGTTTTTTGCGATTTTGTGGGCGCACGCAATTTTAAGGCTTGACATGTTTGGTGTCTATTTACCCGATGTGACCCCATCTTTTATGTTTTACCAAAAATATGGGTAAGAATAGATGTTTTATAACATAACGTAGGAAAAACATTTTTTTATTCTAAATGTACGGTACTTTTTTCATTATATAGTAAAAAATAACCCCCCCCCCAGTGGTGATAATATACCTTCATAAGAAAGCTCCATTTGTCCCCAAAAAATGTTAACATAAGTTGCAAGGCTATAGTCCGGTCATGCTGACTGGTGACATTTTTGACTGACTGGTGAGACACCCTAACATTTTTCAAGCCCTGACTATGCATATCATCCCGGAGATCTCATTAGATTACAGATAGATTTCCCAGCACAGCTCTGCTGATGTAACCTTCCCAGGATGCAACGCTTGGGCACGATTACATTATTTGTGCCAAAGTGGACCAGGAAGTGGATAAAATAAATAAATTGTAAGTAAAATAAAAATATGTTTGTTTAGCTAATGAATGTAAGATGATTTCCTATCAGCATGCAGAGCTGTATGCTGATGTGATTTTCTAGTCAAAAGGGGGTAAAGGCATGAGGAATATGTAAACATTTGTTAAAGAGGAACGCCAGGCATGACAGTAGGCAGTGGGTGGTGTAAATGACAGGCAGGTGTCACAGAAGAAAAATGGGCAGAATGACAGCCCTCAGGAGGCCCTCAAATGCTGAGCAGAGCAGGAAGTTGTAGACAGCGTTTGGAGCACGGAGAGGGCAAGTGAGGGTTGGCACTTTTTTAGTTTTACACAGGAGGAAGATGGGGGGACATCAAAAATATCTGAGTTCAAGGAATTTATCATGTGTTTAACCTACAAATATTTACCTGGGGAAAGGGATCGGTTGCGAAACTGAGAGGTCTGTCAGCACAAAGCTTCATGATTATCTAAAATGGGGTCCAGAGTCTAAGGTAGTTTTGTTAAAGAGACACTGTCACCAACATAACAAACTGAAGGTAAAATCAGAGAAAAATCAAGACGTTTAAATGCTTACTTGCAAAGTTTTTCCTTTCCATTAATTATTTTTATTCACTTGCAATATGCCTCTCAATTTACTACTTGTTACTATTTGACTACTCCAGAAAGATTCCCCTCCCTCTGCTGGGAATGTCTAATTACTGTCTATGCTTGTCCAGCTCCTCCATCCCTCCCTTCGCCTTCCTAGATAACCTTTTATATAATAGCAAAGGGAGAAGTAAATGGTAATACTATACAGTGTTGTGACAGCTCTGAGTATACTGGAGCTGCTAACATCTCATCAAAATGAAATTATATCAGATGGCGGAACCCAACGGCGGTCTTCTGGCCTTTTGGATGCCTACACAAGGGAGGCTTTTACAGGTAAATAACATGCAAAATATACATTACACATATAATATAATGGGAAGATTTTTGTTGAAATGTATGGTCTGGTTACAGGTTTTTTTTAATGATCAAATCCAAAAGGCACAGATTTAGTTTTAATAATTTCTGGTACAAATATTACAACACAATGACATATTACCACATTTATACTGTATATTAGGGATGCACCAATACCATTTTTTAAAAGACTGAGTGGAGTACAAGTACCGATATATTATCTCTAGTACTCGCTGATACCTTTTTTTTTGTGTGATGTGCCTTTTTAAAAAAAATCAATACAGACTATGATTTTAGGACAGTGGTGGAGTGCCAGGGCCCAGTCCCAGCTGCAACCAATGCGACCCTGGTAGCTCTCCCACTGACGCCAACCTGTACAGAGACTACAAATCCCAGCAAAACATCATGCAGCAAAGCAGAATACCAACAACTATAGAACACTGCAAATAACAGCAATCCATTATACAGCAATGCAGAATAATTGGAAGCTACATACTCTGTTGCTCACCAGGGCTGTGCAGTGTCTCAGGAGGCTGTGCGGGGTCTCACCCGGGCTGTGTGCATGGTCTCAGGAGGATGTGCAGGGTCTCAACAGGGCTGCTTGAGGGTCTCGCCAGTAGGGCTGCAACCAACTAATTGATTAAATCGATAATGAGAATAGTTGTCAACTATTCTCATTATCGATTCATTGATTGGATCCCCTAGCTCTCCCCTCCATGCTGGGAGGGGCACAGCAAGCAGTGGGCGAGTGCAATAGCCAGCCTGCTACTGGCTATTGCAATTTGAAATGGCCAATAACAGGCTGGCTATTGTACCAGCCCACTACCTGCTGCTGTATTTACATTCAGCTGTCATCTGCAGAATTGTGCCAATGGCAGCTGCCATTCCCTGGCTGAAGCTATTCAAGTGCCATGTGCTTACAATACAATTATTAATCCCTTGCTGTCCGCCCATCGTAAAATTACGGGCGAACGGCGGATCCTTCCCGGACATACATGTACGTGACTTTGTTTTCCACGTGCAAGCAGAATGTGTACAGCTCTATGGCCGCCAATCGCTTGTATATCCCTTTAGTGTGTGGGACCCCCCCATCACCCCTGCCAGTTAATTTCTGGTACAGATATTACAACACAATGACATATTACCACATTTATACTGTATATTTGCACCAATACCAATTTTTTTTATGACTGAGTACAAGTACCGATGGGTGATGAGTAAAATCTTCGCTCTCCTGAAGAGCTACAGATGCCAATGCTACCTGGCAATTCCAGCTTGAGGGTCTCGCCGTGAGGGTCTTCGCTCTCCTAAAGAGCTACAGATGCCAATGCTACCTGGCAATTCCAGCTTGAGGGTCTCTGCTGTGCACTGCGGTTCTGCCTGTCAACTGCCTACCCCACTACAGGACACAGTAGTAATGTAGGGACCAGTGGATTGAACCACAGCACCCAGCAGGGGCCACTATCTAACACACCTACAGTGGAACCCAGTGCTCTTTAGGAGAACATAGATTTTGCTTACAGCCCTCCAGAGAGGTAAGTATTCCTATTCTTCTATTATAGGGTGTCTCTATCTCACTTTTGATATATATTTGTGAAAGGGAGGCTTTAAAAAAGGCATAATTTAAAGCTGAACTTAATTTAAAAAAAAAAAATTCTGAGCAGCACGTGTCGTATAAGATAATTCCAAAAGATGAGCATTCTATGCTTGGATGACTGCTGCCTACTGTAAAAATCCACTATTCACTGTTAATATCTCCTACCCATAGCCCTCTTTTCTTTGTAAAATCAATTTTTTATTAATTTAGTAAAAATAATCACATAACACTTCACAACAATCAGATCCATGTCAAGCCATGCTAGAGGGGATGCACAATTTTTGAGCATCAGGATAGTAGTAGGGGAGTATCCCCGGGCCGTATGTTTCTGATTACATCTATAGTACATTAAGTACTAATTACTTCAACCCATCCAGATTGTTTGCCAGGCAGGCCTGTTCTGACAATACAAAACACAAAAATTCCCCAGCCTCAACCTGCCAGCCAGCCTGCAACCAAACAAGTAGCCCTGTCAACAGTATGCGTTAAAATCAGAGGTTTTAGTTGCACAAACTTTTGGCCAAAAATATGTAGAAGCCACACTGCCGCGCCAAGGCACCTCTGCAAAGTGTGGTCCTAACTCTATG